TCTGACATTTGCAGCACTTTGCGCAGAGGTAGCGTATCGGGCCACCTGTTTAGTTCAACAGAGTGCGCCCACTATGATGCGACATGATTGCGCTGAGAATGACGGCATCAGATTGCAATGAGTGACGTAACAAGTTAGGCTCAGAGGTAGCACAGAGTAGCAAACTAAGGACCTAAATATATTCCCTTCCATGCTTTCCTTCTACTGCGCACTTCATTTTCTCGACAGGTTCTGGGCCCAGGTGACTCCAAAAGCGCAATGACGCTCTAGACCATCTACTTGTGCTGCAGTGGAACGGTTAGGTCCGTACTTACACGCAGCAAGTGATGTGGGTACCGGATGAGCGACAGATTAGGCTCACAATCCACAAGGTTGACTGGACCAAGTTCTGGGCTCCGGTGGGGTCGGAGCAGAGACTGTATGCGCCAAAAAACGTGCGGTTTTAAGTGATCAGAAAGTGTAAGGATCCGCTTTTTCAGTCACTTCTTGAGTTGTGCGGCCAAAGGTACTACAACAAGCTGGTCAAGGTTGGTCGCGCCCGCTTCCGACGCTGGAATATCTTATGGAACAACTTCGCCGGACATATTTAACAAGACGACGACTGCGTCGAAGTATTAACAGCGAAGAAGTTCACCAAGAAGGCCTGGGCCTAAGTCAGCTGCACTTGGTGGCAGTGATCGACGCATGTGGGCGTGCTCAAGGCAAGTTCTAACAAACAAGGTCCAATACGAGTTGAGGCAGTTGCGCACGGTACTCATGGCGATTTACGATGCAAGTCATCCCTCCTCTCTTGTTCGACCTGAAGAGCTTGCTTATTTTGCACATCTGTCAAGATTCATACAGATGTCCTGTTTCGTCTGGGAAAAACTTCATAGCAAACATCGTCGAGAGCAAGCCATCTCAAGACATCAATTTGCTTTGGATGCGGCTAGGCTAGCCATATTCTGGCAGTTTGCCCCGACGAGAAATAAAAGATGGCAGCGCTAGATGTAGCTTGAAGAAATGTCAAGACATATAACATTACCAACCACTCCTAGTGTGTGCAAGATAGCAGTACGTAAGTGAGAGAATGGATCTTGGAAAACGGATCAATATGGCATCTCGTGAGGAACGCAGTACTACTTGAAGATACTCTCGCATTTGCCGATCAATGTTTGGTAGCCTATGACACCATGCTTCAGTTGACGATAATCGTAATCGTGCTATTGCAGATATTAACGCTCGGCAAGCTGAGCATTGTTCGTCTAATGGACGTCTGCCATTCACCGACTAGCGCGCAATATTTTTTTCGTACGGCAAGCTCGGGCTCCAAAAGTACAAGCTCATATACGTTAGCGATCAGCGAGCGATTGGGTCGTTCTGCACTGGTAATATCGTACTTATGCGGTAACGGGTTATACGTCCCCTACTGAGAAAGGGCAGGTCGCACAATAATGTGTGACCGTACATAGGTTTGTATTACATCGTTAGTAATAACACAGTGGTGTGACTACACCGTAACATGAAGCCACCACGTGGCAGGATTGCCAGTAGAGATGCATTTTAATATTTTCATTAGGTTTTGCTATATTAACTGGGTATTAGCATTACTATATTTATTAGGAAAACCTAGTGTTTCAAAGATTGGCGGCTCTGCAGCAACTAAATCAATTAAACACAGTTTTTGTTCTTGACAGAAAAGTTCGTTTGCCTTGGATGAGGCTTTAGAACTTAGAAGGGCAGATTGCGATCCGCTACACTAGTACTGGCTCTTGAAAAAACGTAAGGTCGGTGAACTTAGCTTAGCATCCTTTAAGCTAAGGGTTACGGTAACCCCGCTGTATATGCGGTAATGCAAAACAACGCGCTCGTTGTAAAAGTGCAAATCGTACACAATGGCATGAGCAAACCATGACACACTCCTGCTTTTCTGCTTTAGGCAACGGGTTCCAAAATGTCTTAGAAAGTTGATTGCACAGTTCTAAAGCGGCAGCAACGTCAACTATACTACTGGCTTCGACGTGACATAGATCGCTAAGTGAAGGATCAAGAGGACATGCAGCCAAGACCTTGTCCCTTTTCACAGCGTCTTGGACATCTATCGTGCGACACAATTGAGACAAGCCCTGTTCTGATGATTAGCTTTCGGTCTGTCGACGCAACGCTCATCATGTGCGTCCGGAGTGTGCAAATCAAAAATGTGATTCCTACGAAAGATACGGTTGTGCACTCCCGATCGATCACGCTGTGAGGTGTGATTTGCTTGGACCTCAAGAGATTGATGACATCAATGGACCGTATCGAGAAAACGGTGTCTCGTCAACTTTGGCAATTGCAAGGTCAATTACTGCCGCGTATTCCTAGCGCGCGCCAAAGACCACTCGGCAAAAATGTTTTGTAATTCTTAAAATTCCGTAAGAAGCGTATTGATTTCTGCATTCATGTGCTACGCTTAGATGACGGCTGTGAACGTAGTAAGCCAGTGTATTCTGCAAGCCCGTCAGCATGTAAGGCAAGAATTAAAGGATCAATCGGCAAGGCAGAAAGTACGTATGCTCACTTCATGATCTTTGCATACAATGTTCCGCTCAATTTGGGGTGCAGTGAAGTTTACAGCAAACATTATGCATTGCAATCTCGAAATACTAATCGTTAATTGTACGCGAGGACAATGTCGTCATCATGACCCAGAACCTAAAGACATTTTGGCAACCTTCACCAAGCACAGCGAGCAGCTATGCTAAGAGACAGGAGTAGAAAAGGAGACGCCGCTAGCTGCATTCGATGCTAATCTACGACTAACCAGAAAGTGCAAGCGCATGTATCCCATGCTACACCATGGGTTTTTAATGCAAGTGTTCGAAGCTGATCCAAAGACGTTCGCGAAGGCAATGCGCAGTAAGAAAAAGTTGCAGATGGAGAAAGGTAATACTTGAGGCAGTCCTATCTTTCGAAAACAACGATGTCTGGAATATGATCAAGCTTTTGGCTGGGACCAACATACTGCACAAAAGTGGATGTCCAATAGAAAACTGATGCAACCGGCTTGGCGATGCGTTGAAGACGCGGCTAATTATGTGAAGGTATGAAAAGGCTTCTGAGTAGACTATGTGCTTACTTTCGGCGCCGTCATGGGCTTGCCGTCGCTAAAGGTGACTCCAAGACTTGGGTGCAGGCAAAACATGGTAAAATTCCGAACGCCTACGTCAGACTCAAAAATACCGATTCTTCTCCATCTGCAGTGTGTTGAAGATCAAGAATGAACAACTGAAGACGCTTGGTGTGAGTAATGTAAACGAAGTAGCGCTCGAGCTTGAAAAGAGCTTGTATGGAATGAAGCAGGCAAGGTGTTCGTAGGGACACGATGCAGGCTCTAAACATGTGTCAACGGCATATGCCTGTATTTCGAGCGCAACGAAAACGATTTGACGGTGGTTGATGTCAGAGGTCGGCAAATAGTTCTAACAATCGTATTGTTTTCGATCAAGAAACTCGGACCCGTAGCAAAGTTGTCGATAAAGTAGTGATGGATCCTCGACGCGCACGCACATTCTCTCGATCATGGAGGAGCCTATTGGTGAATTGTAGCCCGTAAAGCAGGTATGTGCTTCAAAGCGGGCCTTAAGACAAGTAAATGCACTAATAAATACTTAAATAAACTTATCTCCGATCATCTGTACAAATCCCAAACGCATTTGTCACAGCATCAAACAGCATAGATTTGTAATTATCTTGAAAGTGTAGCCAGCAAAGAAGATTAATTAGCCATCTTGTCGATACCTTTGACACGTGTAGCGATGTGGGATGGGACACACGATTCGTACAATTTACTTTCATCTTAGAGCCGGGCTTGACAGTGGCTTACTCCATAATATGAAGCTCTTTGCTATGAAGTGGGGGGTTCTCTATCGCTTGAACCTAGCGAGAGGAACGTACGAAAGATACCTCAGGGCATTGGGATCTGCTTGAAGTAAAGGATGCCTATACCAGAGGTCCAGGCAGCAAATTCGGCGGGAAGTGGGTCTGGAAGGCCAAAATAGCGGTACAAATTTGGTTTTCATTTGCACCCCGGAAATGTCTCTCTTCTATCCCATCTCATCATCTTTTTTACATATTTTAAGGGGATTGGTGCGCCATAGCCACATCAATTGCGCTTAGTAGCTAGCCTGGACAGAGTACATGCGTAATTTCTCTCTGTTAGTAGCACTGGAGTATCTATAACTGCCTCAAATCTGACCGGAAACGATAATTTTCAATAAAAGCAACCTGATTAAAAGAAAGTCATCATGTGGGCCCATTATTCTTGACGAATGATTTCTACCTTGCACTTCGAAAAAAATCATTAATTACATATGCATTCATATCGATGATAAGGCCAGATATTCTTGATGTCTTCACAGTCTCACATTACATTGGATGCATCTCCAATTAATAACTTGAAAATATCAGCAGGCTTTTTTGCCTGCTGTAAAGTATTTTTTGTCATGGACTAGTGATTACAAATGTTGTCGTGGAGCGCAATTGCTTGGACAGGTGGTCCAATCCCTTGAAGTTACCACCTCACCCACCGTGCCAAAAATGGCCATTCGAAAGCTTCAAGTGCTGTATCTTTCACCCGTTATTCACAGTTGTTTGTATCCAGCACCTTTTGTCGAGAAGACCGCGGCTTTAGACCGCACTGATTCGATTCAACATGACAAAAATCGGCAAGCCTCGCCTAGCATACAGTCGATCATTTCCATCTTAGACGTTGCTACCGGATATTGCAGCTTAAAGCTCTTAAGTCTTAACAAGGATTACATCTGAGTTCACGACATACGGTTGCTGGTCCCTGTCTAAGAATAAATAGAACATGGTAAGCGCGACATATAGTCGCTAATTTGATATATCCTCTTGAGATATATCCTCTTGAGACCGCGCTTTTCTGTCTCGTCCTGCCTTTGAAGCTTTGCTTGAGACTCCTATCAAAATTGTTGCTAAGTAAGTCAGATGCACCCAGATCCTGCGTTGTAGGTGTCGCAGCTTCGAGAACAAAAGAAAAGGCATTCTGATCTTTAGCAGAAGGTAAGTTAGTAATTTACCAAATACTCGATGCATGGTACATATCCTTTCCGAATTTCTGTTTACTTTTACCCATTGCTTTCCAGCCAGGCCATACGAATGAGATCCTTTTCTAAAATCAAGTTCTAGGACCAAACAAAGTTTTACTCTGTCAAATTTATTAGACTTTGCCGGGTATCAAAAGAAGCCTGGACATTTGGCGACTGCTCCTGTCGCGAGATAAGCAGATACTGTATTTGTATGTGGTATCAGCAATGTCTCCGCGCATTGTATGCTATCGTGTATTGCATGTGAATACATACCACTCCGGAAACTGTCGAGGCTTCCATGCCATCATAAAGTCTAGGTTGCAAATGTTCAGAAGCGATATAAAAAGCGAGTTTTCCCTACTTTCTGAGAAAAAGTTGCTTTTCTAAAATGAGTCAAATCGATAAATTGACCTCCAAGTGGTACAGCTGAACATAGCTTTTTCCTCGTGGGTATATCTCCATCTGCTAGGAATCGGCATATCGCCAAGTGTGTTCTATCGTGGGTAGGGCTTGATCCTTCTAACAGCTCAACCATGAGAAAAGGAAACGCGTAGGGATGAACATTTGGCTATCCCACTGGTACTCTCAAACATGTGGCGTACGGCGTAAATATGCGTCTTAGATATCACTCAGCCTGGCTGATGTCCATCACCTCCCACGAGCCTCCAACGCCTTTGCAGGTCGAAAATGTGTTTCGCACATAATAAGACAATTACTGCTTCACGAAAACGAGGTTGGGTAGGCGCGAAAGGTCACGGTGATACACAAGTAAATGTAGACTTCGAAAATTGTAAACATGCTTCGGCTTTTGAGAAAAATTCTGCCGCTAATATAATATGGAAGCTGTCAACACTTGGGCGTAGCCAGCCAGTTCACTTTATTCAGAGAGGCATCTCAACAGACCTCAGTAGCCGTGTTAACAGCTGCTCAAAAGCTTGGATACGATTTTACCATGGTTGAGGTACTTCAATCTAATTAAACCGATAAACACCACCGGAAATATATCAAAGGACATGTTTAGTTTGTCGGAAAGATAAGTAAAAGCTTATTGGGGCCACCAGCTTCGGAGGGATCATCTCCCGCTGATTTATATATTTAAAAAGCTTTCGCGTCGGCGCACTATTTCGTGAAAAACATTTATGGTGAAATAGAGGGGCTACCCCAAGTTTTACCAAACTGCTTTTACGGCGTCAGGGTTTAAGAATTGAATCATATATGACCATCACTTCACCTGCTCACGCGTGCAGCTCTCATACGCATATGCACACGAACATGCACACGCTCGCCGATTTGATACATTATGGATCATAGCAACTGGAGTTGATTTTGCTCCATTTCAGCGCTCTAAAATTCTTTTTAATCCTATTTTCGACAGTCGGTGAATTTGGCGCTAGAGCTTTTTCGCGTTGCTCTCCAAAAGAAGATGTAGGCTCCGTCTGATGGCTCTCTCAGACGGGGTTACCAAGCCGTTTGACGCGCCGTGGGCTGCGCCGAAGCGGAACTTGAAACAGTGACCTTGGCAGACGGTCACTGTTAGATGCAGTTAGGCGGATTGACTGTGGAAGAAGTGAGAACGGCTTACAACATAAAGATAAACGCAAAATCAATGCGACCGGTGAGAAGAAAGTAAAAAAACGTAAGACAGCATTGGAACGTAAGAATGAGCCAGTCCGACTCACAACTAAATAAAAGCTTAACTTTGTTGAGGTCATGCGGGTATCTCACTGCGGTTAAAGTATAAAAGTGCCCTTTGGAGATTATTAGCACACGTCTGTAAGCTACACAGCGCAAAAGAAATCAAACACCGAATGCAGAGGTCTATAGAATGACACGACAGCTACTGTAGAGTACACGGACGTGACACGGGGTGCTAGGCACAAGTCAATGGCAGCATAAATTGTGAGGATAAAGCTATCGTGGGGCGAGGTCGTGATGAGTCTTCGGAAGTAGGCGTGGTGGAAGGGTTCAAGGCGACCGAAGCAAAAGTCAGAGTCGTAAGACGACGGAAAAACAAGGCTTTTCGAAGTTGAAAGGACATTGTTCTTGTACGCCTGCATAGGTGAAGGCTGATGAGTAGTATACCTACTTCTTCAATAGCATATTCTCTTCAAGTACAAGTAGATTTGGGCTTGACCTGGCAAAGCTTAAGGACACTTTGAGACGAGGACTTACACTTTGCCACTCTATGTTACGAATACAAACGTTGGCGTCAACGAGCCATACATGAGGTTTGTAGCCATCGTTCGTCTCCAGAGCTTGATTTTAAAACGACAAAAGGCACTAAACACCATACGCCCGTCTTACTCATTGTCGTCCCTCCAAAAACGAAGGACTCAGGTGTACTGAAGGCAGCATAACGAGATTGGTACCTGCATCCAAGAATACATGTTTTTTGCACAAGTTGGCATAAACAATTATTCAGCTATTAGTTTACCATGTTTATTCTAGTTTCCTAGTAAGCTAGGGAATTATTGTACAAATTATATATTGTCAAAATTAACATTGCGATCAAGTGCTTAAGTATATCAGGTTAACCGAGAAGGGTCATCGAGTATGGCCAGTTCAACTTCACTTGCTAGCCAATCTGCAGACTGTGCCAAAGTATCCTTCTCACGATACTGTCCAATGCGCTCCGTACACCATACTATCCATTTAAAAAGCTGATGTGCAACGTTAGGTTCTAATTTAAACATTAGAGCGTAATTAAAGTGAGAGAGCGCAGTGATAGACAAGTTGCTAGTCGAACTTAACGACGGCCGTGAGCTGTACACGTGCATATTTTCGACTTGCAGACTCTTGTCATCGTTAAAGGGCCAGGAATTAGCGTCTGAGCAGTCCAAAAATTCCAAAGTGACATCGCTGAGGGCACAATTGGCCACAAAAAGCTCTGAAGTCGTTCTGCTCTCAGCATTCAGCACTTCATTCACATAAATTGACTGCATTTTAAGCTCGTGTCCTACCACCGCACACTCCCATTCATGGTCTGCTTTGAGAGCAACATCCCAGAAGGACATTCCATGTACATCGATACCTTCACTGCTTGTAAATATGAGATGAGCTGGAGTCGAGTACAACCCAATAGGCACCTCACCAGTAGTTTGAGCCGAAATAGAATCAAAAAGTCCAGGCTTCACTGAATCTGAAGTCATTTGTTGTCGCATGTCGTTCATAACATCCATGCGAAGATGCAGGGACTTGGAGCAGTCGCCAAGTTTGCCATTGTATTTAACCAAACCAAAAGCCATCAAGGTCGCGGCGATAATTGCGCCTTGCAAACTTACATTGTGCTCCTTGCAACGTCTCACAGCACTCAACATATTTGCTTCCGATCCTCGGGCAAACAAGGCAAAACTGGGATTAGGAGGAGACGGTGGTAAGCCAGCAAAATCAAGTTGTGATCCTGTCTGAAGAGCCAAGAGAGGCGCGAAAGCACTTGTGTCAAAGCTCATTAGCGGTTGTATAACGTACTTGGAAACAGCTTCGTGAATCACATTCATCCACGCGTTCACAAAGTGCGTTTTTTCATACAGTGACTTCCGCAGAGGCAGCTCTTTAGGAAGTTTTGTCGACGTGGTGATCATCTGAAGAATGTCACGGAGAATGATGAATCCTGAAGTCGTGTCCGACATATAATGGTCAGAAAAGAGACACAAGCGTGCGAACGCATTCGTAGACATGTCAACGTGAGCAACAAGATAAAAAGGAAAACATTTTTCACGATTCAGTGGCTTTTCGCATTCGTCACGAACAAATTCCATCCATTTAGATTGTGGCAAAGTGAAAGTAACCGCGTGATTCTTTGAATTTTCTTGCTCTGTGTGCTCCTCTTTATCCACAGTGCAGTCATGAATAGTAAGAAGACTAGCTAGATCCGAGACACTTGTGAGGGCAGAACAAATCATGGCTTTCTGAGGAACGCTTCCTGGTAAAATCGATGCTCTCATTCTTGGATGCCGATTAAAAGTCTCGAAAACAGCCTGAGGCAAATGTTGCAAAAGTCGTGGAATGTCACCACGCAAAGTCACAACATGCGCAAGCATGGCACTAGCATCAGGATCCATGGCAAAAAACCTCTCGTAGCCATATAGCAAAAACGTGGGGTGTGCCATTCGTCGTAAGCTATGTCGATTGATGAATTAGAATCAAAAATGCGATCTGATGGTTAGCTGTACTTAGATTAAAGTGCAAACTTATTTTAAGCAGAAACCGGGATCTCAAGAAAACTAGCCGCCTCGATGTCTGAGTTTTTTACTTTCGGGGGACATATGCCTGAACCATAACTTTGTCAATTGTTGCTCGTGCTGAAATTGTCGTTCTTGGATGTAGGGGGATGATGAAAATAATGCGTTACGAGGCCCATTATCCTGTTAATTCTCGTTTTGTCGTATTGGTCGTTAAGCGTAAGCATGACGAGGCATTGATTGACGTCGAAGCTTCACTCATGCTCCGTCAGACTTCATTCCAGCATCATTACTGTTTCTTGGAAACGATGAAGATGCAAACTTTTTAAAACACATTCTGAAACGCACACAATATTTTTCATACTAGTCATCTCACCCTACAGCATCAGTTGTGGTACAAGCTTTGCTGTGGAATAGCCGTTGTTTTCAGTGATGTATCTGCTACTAATTCAAAACCTGTATACTCTTAGCACTCAATGGTAAGTTACTGAGATAGAATAAAAAACTAAAGCAACGTATCATTATTAGTGTCAACTTAGTGTCTAGTTGAAGTATCTTTCGTGTGGATATATTTTACATTTACAATTAAGTCTATAAAGAAAATGGCGGACGAATTGATTATTAAGGTAGTAAGTGGTACGTCTGAGAATCTGCAGGTGCATGTGGACTTGGCATCAGCCTCTGTACTGGCGCTCAAACATACAATAGAAAAGCAAAATATACAGCGATTCCCCGTCTCGGCACAACGTCTGATCTTTCAGGGTCAGATTCTAGAGGACAACAAGTTGCTGACCGACTACCACGTGGCTGCGGGCTGCGCTCTGCATTTGACTCTCTCGCCCAGTGTAGCGGCGGCTGTAGAAGCCAATGCAGCTTCAGAATCATCTCCCTCTGCCCAGCTACAAACATTCTTGCAGCTGATGCGTTCCACGGAGCCACAAGATCTGTATGCGATTGCAGTGCGCACGCTACAGAAAATCTGCGCCAATATTGTGAACAACCCTAACGAGGAAAAGTACCGAAGCCTTCGAGTGGACAATGTTACACTTAAGAGTAAGTTGTTTGATAGGACGAGAGGACTGGAAAGTGTCAAGCTGCTTGGGTTCCAAGACAGCGTTCAAGCGGTAAGTTTTCTGAGGATGTGAACAGTCGTGTGTTAAGAAGCTGATGTAACTTTATGCAGGGGCACTTAGTCCTAGTGCCGACGCCGGAGAAGTGGGAAAATTTAGTGGCGTGCAAGGCTGTGGTTGATTCTGCAGCCGCAACATTAGGAGGTGCAACAGCGACTCGACCTTTTGGAGCTTCGCCTTCTATCGGAGGTATGGGGGGAATGAATGGAGGCTTTGCATCGCAGGCGCAAAGCTTGCTGCAGAACCCAGCAATGCTACAGTCCTTGATGAGTAATCCCATGGTGCAGCAACTGGCCCAGCAAAATCCCATGTTAACCCAGGTTCTGCAAAATCCAGCATTACTTTCACAATCCTTGCAGACGATGCAGCAAAATCCAGCGATGATGCAACAGATGAATCAAATGATGAGTGATCCAAATGGAATAGCGCGCATGCAGCAAATGATGACAGGAGGTGGAATGGGTAGTTTCGGTTCTTTTGGTGGTCTATCCGGTGCAGGATCGACTTCGTCTGGTGTCAATCCATTTGCTTCTAATCCATTTGCCAGTAGCTCTTCCACACCTGTAGCGACCGCTTCAAACGCAACTTCATCAGGAGTGTCAACTGTATCGCCATCTGCTGCTGCAATGTCTGATGAAAATGATGACGAAGCATATAAAGAGGACGATATCGCTCTTGCTATCGCGCGATCGTTGCAGGATCAGTAACACCTGACTCAATAATGACATTATCAATTTCCATCCTTTTTTTGTTAGATCTGTTATTCGATTGGTAGAGATAATTCTTTCCTTATTCTGACCAATTATAATGCTATTATGACATAGTCAATATGATTGGTGGCGGATATCGAGCAATTTAACATTTGTCAACAGCGTGTCCCAACTCGGTGTCGTGCCGTGTATAAACTGCAACACACGAAGTGTGACACAATGGCGGGCGAACAGCAGAAGGTGCCAGAAGATAGTAAGAATGGCATCTCTGCTGTGCCTCCCTCTAGTGGAGGAATGCAGACTTTTGCACCATTGGCGTTTGACGAAAGTTTAATGGCACCCGCTAGTGCTTTAGAGATTCCAAATTCAAGTGAATCCATGACCAACAGCAAGTCTGCAGCTGATTTCTTTCTTGACCAAATTGCAGCTGTCGTTTCGGATGAGAAGAAGCTCTCAGATGTGTGTGTATATTTAAAGTGAATTGGACGTAGGTAAATACTGACATCTTTATTTGTGTATTGTTGGTAGAATATTATGGATTTGATCCCACCTGTAGAAGCACCAATGACTCAAGGAGAAGCAGTGACACAGATGATTACACCAACTGCCTTGTCCATTGGTATGCCACTACAGCCTCCTCCTGATCTTATAATGCGCGCTTTATCACCACCCACGTCGCTTTTGCCTGACTTCGGTGATGTGACGTCTTTGTCTTTGCTTGGGGATGCGACTTCAGCAGCCGCGACACCAACCATGACGACTATCACGACAGCAGTGAAGCGCGAGCTTTCAATGGTAAAGCCTGCAGTCGCAGAAACACCAGGGTCAATAAGGAAAAAAGCAGAGGTGGCGACAGCAGCTAGTATCATTCAAAAAAAGCAAAAGGTAGACGATATTAAGCCAGATACTGTTGTAAGTGCAGCCACAGCAGTGGTGCACCAACCAATTGTTCAACAAGCTCGACAAAATTATCATAACTCAAACAACCCATTGTCAGTTGCAGCAGCTGCCGCTGCAGCTCGCGAAAAAGTGATGAAGGAACCTCAGTCTGGCGATTTATACGAGTGTGTTATTACTAAGCGAAATGGCGGACTTGGGTTAACACTTGCATGCGTGGATGACCACGTTCAGATCACAGGACTCGCACCAGATACACCCGCAGCCAGTAGTGGTATTTGCGTTGGAGACACACTTGTCGCTGTGTCTGGGCTGCCCGTGCGTGGACTTCAGTTTTCTACCGTGATTGGTCGGCTCAAGTCGACATCAAGAAACTCGGTGGTACTTAAGCTTCGTCGAAACCCTTGTACGTCTTGAGTAAAATGCTATCGTTGTTGTGAATGATAAAGTTCTAGACTTCGCTAAAAATACTGTTTTTGCTTGTTTGTTCAGTCCGACAAAATGCTGGAAATATAACTTCGTCTCGCGGAAATAAGCGACCGTGTCGCGGCGGATTAACAGGTTCAGATAGCAGCAACAGTGCCAATGTACTGACAAGTAAGACCATGGCTTTAGAATCACGGTTAGGTGGGGGGATGGGAAATGGTTCGAACGGCTCTGCAAGTGTTGCTTCCAACAATTCCCATGAAGCAAGCGTTGGAACCGATGATCTCCACCGTACACATTACCAAGGAGGTAGTGGACTTGTGAGTCATGCCTCGAGTCTTCATGAGCAGCACCTACAATTGTACTCGAAAGCAGAGCCATTAAACTCGACGTATTTTCCAACAGATGCATCTATTCTCACAATGGGAGCGACAAGTGCTGGTGCTGTGCCTCCTAGTGTCTTTGCGCCTTCGTCATTATTTCCTAGCGATTCACAGGTCGGCTGGCGAGTAAATTGCGTGGAAAAAGAGCGATATTATGCCGAGTGTCGCGCTTTACGTCATGAGCTGGGCAGAGCCATGGTAGCACAACAAATACAGAAGCGGGATACAAAGATGTATACGTCACAGATACAAGCAGTCATCGACAAGTTTCAAGATCAAGTTCGAGAATTGTCTGTAATGTCATCAAGTGTTGGGATAGAAGGTGCAGTAAATTGTGATGAGCTTGGAACACTTCGTCAGAAATTAGTAGAGGCGAACCAGAAGCTGGCACAGCAACACACGGATATGCTAGTCTTAAAAGAACGTGAGTCGCGGCATGCACTGCCAGAAGCTCAGCGCATCAAATGGCAACTTGTGTCTTACTTGCGAAAAAGTGTGCTTCAGATTGACTGTAAATCAGCAGTAAAACAGACGTCCACTTCAGCGGTCTCCAAGGGCAATTTAACACCATTAAGTTTTGAGAAGCGACTAGATGGAGTCCGTCCAAGTACATTTACCTTGTTAATGGGACGAAACTGCGAGCAGAGTGATGGTCCAACTATAGAATTGGAGCTGAATGCTAAGATGTGCACTGAGGTGAGGCAGATTGCTTTGTGAACGTACTATTACTTGAAATCATCACGGTATTGTTGCCATTGAATTACTGCAGTTGCTTGGCTGGAACATGCGAGAAGTTGTGGTCCAAGCAGGAGCAAGATTTATTGTAAGTGTCGATGGTAGCATACTCGTCAAATACTTGCAACGGGAGGAAGTGCTTGCCGTCTCTTGGACTCTACGTGTAAACGAGAGCAACAAGGACGATAATTGCACGTTGAGCTTGCGCAACTGCACATAGTATCATAATGACCGCTTCTTTACAGCAAAACAACCAATTAGACGAAAACACACACCCAAAGTTAGGAATCGAATAGCAGCGCTATTTGCGAACGGTTCTAGCGGCATTTATAATAGCTGAATTGATGGGCAAATCGTGTCAAAGCTCCGAGGTATGGAGATTTTAAACAGGCGAAACTGAGTTTGAAGGCGGCGGAACTTGCAAAAAAGGCACTTCTACCACTTGCTCGTTGACAATCGACATGATGCGCTCTATCGCCTCGTCGTCCATTTGGCTGCTGTCACTTTTGCTATGTGATTGAATAGCGCCATTCATGAGCAAAACGTAGGCACGGACAAACTGCTGACGAATATACTTGTCTCGTGAGCCCTTAAGTACGTGGGCCACATCGTAGCTCACTTCAAAAGGATCTTCAATGCTAAGCCGCGTCGTAAAACGCCATTGACAAGTCTGCCGCTTCTCCTCTTTAGTCATTGTGCGAGCATCTGGACAACGGACACTGACAATATCACGCGTTGCATCGAACTGCAAGCCATAGTAGCGAAAAAAACTAAGCATCAACTCGCCTACTGTCTGCCTATTGCGCGAACAGTATCCGCGCAATAGAGCCAACTTGTCCTTTGGTTCAGGAAAAGCATAAGGGTCGTAGAAGTACGTCTCAATGCCATCTGCTAATCCTTCCAGTTCGTCGCTCGGTCCTCGACAAATAACACTCGGTAAGTTGTCACAAGATTCATCAGGCCAGTTCGGAGGCAGCATTTGTAAAACAGGCAGAACAGGTGGATTTTGACGCTGAAGAAAATGAATCAGCATGAGTAAGTATCCGTAGGAAGAGAGCGTGCCCTCAGCGGCACAATTCATACGTCGCTGCTTGACGAAATGCTTAAGCACATACGCCAGCGAGCGCACCCGTGGATCTGCACTAGCATATGCACGAAGCAGCGACGTATTACGCTGAGCCAGTCGATTTTCCATGCACAAATCGCACTCGATACCAGAAGCACGCGAGACAAACATGACGATTGGAATACGTGCAGTGAGACGCGTCGTGTCCACAGAAGCAAAGAGATCCGGACGAGCTTCCAAATGGTCGACAACTTCCAAAAGCATGCGCTGTTTTTCCTCGAGTGTTGGACAATTATCATCTGGAAGTACTAAGCACATATCCATGTCACTGTATTCATTGCCAAATTCATTTGCTGAAGATCCAAATACATCCAATTCGCAAGTAAATGAAAGTTTGGCAATAACATTTGAATGCACTTGATTGTAAATTGACTGTCGCGATGCACGGAACGCTGTACGATCTGGTATAAGCGTTGACGCTTCTTGTTCTACCCACTGAGTTAATGCACGCGTGACAAATGGAGACGTTTGTAGCACCTTACACTCAGCATCGCTCTTTGAGCCTGACGGACCAAAATCAATTGATGCAAAGCCAAAGTGTTCAAGCCAAAATGCACAACGTTCATCTTTATTTGCAAAATAAAGTCCACTCACCTGACAAAATCGCTTTCGTTGTGCATGCGCAATCTCCGCTAACTGGTCGTCCGCTATCAATTCCCTCACATATCTATTGGCCTCAACAGCATTCAATACATTGCACATCGTGCCATGGAACGTCTCAATTGGCAGCGGAATCGTTTCCGTAGCTGCAAACCACTGCGCAACGTTATCGGCTGGACGTTCAAGCAAGCGAAGACATGCATCCATCATATCACCAAGCAGAGCATGACCGTGCAAAAAGACGGTTTCTACTTGATCCACTAATCGCATCAGTGCAAGAAGCGCGCTTAGCACAAAACCGGCATCGCCATTGGCCACACCTTGCTGAAATTTGTCGTGGGTAGCTCGTAATGTGTCGATAAAATGACTGTATTCGAGACACACTTTCAATCGGTTACTGCGAGAAATTGTGGCATTCGAGTAAGCGACTTTACTGTGTTGCTCGTCACTCGAACGCTTCCCATTCACATGATGACTGGTGTGACCGCTTTTATCTTCAAATACTCGAAACTCAAATTCTCCAGGAGATCGAGGTGCGCGAAATGTGATTCGAGTGTTCAGACAGCGGTGATTGTGATGCAATTTGTTTTCAAAGAGTACCTGTTTGACAAAAATAGGCTTGTCATTAGTCGGCTGTCCGAGACGAAAAAGTCCGACAAGAAGAACGCGACCTGCGGAACATTCTTTCACACCCAACGACACTTGCACCTTGATATTATCGTTAGGCTTCGCCACTTCAGGTGACACGTGGACCGAATTGTGGGGACCTCCTGATAGTAAACTTGGTGAAGAATTATCACGATGTAGATGAGGTGATTTTCCTGGCGAGCGACGAGTACGCGACATGGTTGAGCTCCTCGAATGTGTTTTTCGATTCGGAGATACAGAAGAAGCTTGACCCTTGAGACTCAAATTATTGCTTAAATTATAAACAGATGAGCCCGAATTTATTACTGACTGCATGGCCTTTTTCGACAAGTGCTGATCGTGACTATTATGATCCGTCATACCACCACACCTGCTATTTTGAATAACCGCACGTTCAAGCTCAGAATAATGTGGCGGATGCTGTAGGTGGGGAGAAAGCAACCGGTCAGTCGTACGAGACATTGGCTGCTGATACAAAGCAGCCATTTGAGCATTCATTTGATCCCGCAACGAAGCAGACTTGTCGCTCCATCCCCCGCTTCCTCCAATGGAGCCATGCTCGTTCACACCAAACGTTTCCTTACCCAAATTTAGTTTCAGCATCGAATTCGATAAATCTAAATCATTCCTGTTCGTGACTACTGTTTTTCTCACTTCCCTCATCGAATCTAAAGAGCCAAAATGAACAAAATCATTCGTGTTCTGATGTTCAAGTTCCACACCACCAAGGGAACTTAAAGCGGACCCCATTGTAACTTCTTGTTGTTGATGTTGTTGGTACAATGGTCTTCCATTGTCAGTCAAATAGAGTGATGGAGGTGGAAGTGGAGGTGCCATGGAAGGTGGCATTCGCTGCAAGTTCATGTTCGGGTTCAAGCCAACAGAATTTAAAGCGGAAAAAGTGGCTACGTTCTGGCTGAAACCGCTTAGCTGCCCACTGCCACTGTGAAATACATCGAATGTACCGAGATTCTGGAGGTCAGCGCCGTCTGATTCGTTGCGACCGTTACCAATACTTGGCGAGCGTGGCGGCTTTGGCCACGTTGCCATGATTAATGTTAGCACAAGATTAATGCACATCCGAAAAGGGGATGGTGTGTGATACATCATATTGGGTAAAACACTAGAATTTTTTATTGATGCAATAAATTATCCATCATTTGGTTATCATATGGTTACACCCCGAACCTTGCAGCATCTTGTGTTTCGCTCTCACTAATGACACTACAAAACTCACTGCTAGTAGTTGGGAATGCTTAAGCTCTATCTTTTGCCTGCGACTGTGTGTGGTATGGCATTCGTAAAGGTGGTAGCTACGCTATACCAAACGTAATTGTAAGAACAAAACTTCACTAGACGAGCAGGACTTTCACATTCCTCTTTAAGAACTTATATGCGTTTGCCACGAGTTGAAACCTGAAAATCGCGGCGAAGAAACATGCTCATGCTTTCGGTTTGTCACATTCTTTGTTTTTGTTATGCTAGGTCGTCTGAAAGCTGAACAGCATGTAAAGCACTGTAGAGGATGAGGCTTTGAATGTGTGAATGTGTAGCGATGTGCTATGTTGTTAACTTAC